TACAGCGCCAAGGAAAAGCGCATTCGATAGCCCTATTAACGCCCTTTCTGAGTAATTCTCTCAGATTTGAGCTAACGTCAACGGTTTTGCCTGCAGGGGGCAAAAACTGCAAAAATAGCCGATTTTTTCGGAAACAGTTTTTCTGCAATAACTTTTGACCCAAGCCTTGTACGAGCTTACTTTTACCGGCATCGTGTTCCTCTCGTCAAGACGCATCGAATGAACTATAACTTGACCTTGAAAGGTCAACTTGAAAATTTGACCTCAGGTCAAGGTCATGACCTGACCTGAAAGGGTCATGTTGCATATCAGTCGATCCGTATCGTCGAGCTGAGCACATCTAAGGCGTTTTCACCGCTCTAGCATGCCTCTATCAAAAGGTATTTGCGAAAAACTGTTAAACACAATTTGTGACCTGAGATGACCTCAGGGGCATAAATAGGGGTCACGGACATCATTTTCATGTTCAGTGTGTCTAAACCATTTGTAATTCAGTGTTTGGGAGTGTTTATAATGTCTTTCGTCCAAAAGAGGCGCATTTCAATTTTCTCCCATTGACGTATAATGGGGAGGTCGCAAAATTGACCTGACCTTAGGTCACCGATATCAAAATTCCGACATACACATTTGATAGATACTGTTACCCTTATCAATCGCTGAAAGTTTCAAAGCGATCGGTCACTCGGTGTAACTATGGCAGACATTGAAACTTTTTATGAGGTGAGGTCACTTCAAGTGACCTGGTGACCTGACCTTGAATGACCTTGGTCTGAAATTTTTACAACATGTGTAGAATCGATGTATGATAAGGTGTACCAAAAACGGCGGCGCGGAGCGCCGCCGTTTTTGAGATTTTCGCAAAAACCACAAGGGGGGGGTGTTCAAACACCCCCCCAGCAGGGCGCGGGTTAAATGTCTACTATCAGATACCAGAGCGCATTAGTAGCGTCGACGCTACTACATAGTAGCACACAACATTAATTCAATATTAAAAATTGGTTGAATCCAAGTTGATTATCAACATTGAGGATCAACCGTTTTTCGACATCGATCCAGCATTTATTTCACGTTGAATTTGCGTTGTATTTGGTTGATAGGAGATTGATATGCAATATTGTGATACAACATCAAAACAATGTTGTATGCCGATCACTTTGTATCGCGTTGTATGTATCACTTTTATGCCGATTAGTTACTTTCGACGGCAGGGGTCCCTTCAATCAATATATTATCATTGTAACATGTGAATATCCACCTTGTTACAGGAACGCAGGATGCGAGGATCGTCGGGCGACACCACCACTCGAGATTCGTAGATCGATGGACGGAGCGGCAGCCGCGACGCGACGACGTGTGTCGTAATGTGACGGGATGTGACCCGGAAATGGCTGTGTATTTATCCCAGAAATACATTTATTCCGAATATTGACTTTGTCGGTAACGCGGGAACTCGTGGGTCTTTTTAGCATTCCTGGTCAACCGGCTCAAGATGCCCGAGTCGGAGATGCCCGAGTCGGAGGTGTGCTGAGCCGCTGTTTTCAACAGCGGCTCAGCACAATAACAAGATGCGGAATACTTATAGAATGGCGAGTGTGGTGCCCTGTACAAGATCCTTTACGATACCCTGTACGACACCGTGCACGGTATCCTGTACGACACCGTGCACGGTACCCTGTACGAAACCATGCACGGTATCCTGTACGACACCGTGCACGGCACCCTGTACGACACCGTGCACGGCACCCTGTACGACACCGTGCACGGCACCGTGTACGGCACCCTGTACGACACCGTGTACGACACCGTATACGGTACCCTGTACGACACCGTGCACGGTACCATGCACGACACCGTGCACGGTACCCTGTACGACACCCTGTAGGAACCCTGGTAACAATTTCGTTAAAAATCCTGTAGGGTCAACCATACAGGGCTACCCTGTAAGATTTTTTCACTAGGGATGAGCGAGAGCTCCCAAGAGAAAGGAAGTGAAACGAACTCTCGAACACACGCTTTTTATATCACTCGGTCACGGCCAACCTCGCCTCCTCCCCAGCCCTCCGTCGGGAGGAGGAGCTACACGGCACCGCCATCTTGTCGTCGACGAGCGGACCAGGGGCCGGGTAGCCTCAGGCCCTTAGCAGCCCAGCCCCGACGCAGTCCCCACCCCGGGCGCGCCTCGTGACGTCACGCGCCCCACCGCTCGGGCCGGGCGGCACACTCCTGCCTCGGGCACCGTCGTCCGGCCGCCGTGTTTTCTTGGCCTTGGTTCGCGCTGTCTTCTGTGGTCGACTGGTCCAGAGGTGCAGCTCCGTCGTGCCGTGTCTATGCCTCCGGCGTCGCCGTCAGGCCGACGCAACCTTGGCCGCGCGCTCCGAGTCCGGGCGGCCCCGCTGCTCGGAGTGGCGATGTGAGGGCGGCCGGTCGCGAAGTTTTCCACACTTTATACATAGGTAAATGGAGAACAGATTAGTTCGCTAATCAACTACCACCACCAGCCATGTTACGCTTTCGTAGATAACAGGTCATTCATTCCAGTTATAGATATTCCTAAAACAGCTCGTAGAACTCGCTAAAAAGTCTATCTAATATCTAATCACTATCACAACCGTTTTACCTATATATCTTTACCAACGCTGTAAAGATTGACGACCGATTACCTTGTGCCTTCACGTTTCCACCAGGTCTCGCTAGACCCGATCGGCAACACTGCACGGTATCCCGTCACTGTTACGTCTCCATCGCAAGATATGCACGATATGTCACCCCTGTCGCGCCTCCATCGCGACTCGCGAAAGGTTTACCAGTTACCACCTGTCCGTTGATACTGTTCACTGCTCTTTGATCACCTGACTGGATGTCAGTTAACATGGACGAAACTAACTGAAGTTGAGAGATGATTGAACTAGACGATGTTACCGTTGATAGGTGCAGCGCTTAATGATCGCCACGCTCGACGCCTGTGCTGATGCACCCAGCATATGTAGATCCGGACTGGTCGTAATCGATGACGGACCACCATTGCACCGTCCATCTCCTTCCAGGGGGAAGAGCGAAACCTGAGCGCATCTCCGGCTGGTCGCCCATTGATTCGAACGTCACGCTCGATTCCAACGTTCATTGCCTGCATGTCATTGTAGAATGCATGGTTCCGTGCGCCTGTGCTAGTTCTGTGAATAGGAGTAAAGTCACCCTTCCCCGGTCCCCACGTGTCATAAATTCTACCAAATTTATTGCAAAGCCTCTCTGCGGTACTTTAGAGGTATGTAGGAATTAAGTCTCAAATCGCTCCAAAGATAACGTTAAATCATTATTTGTTCCACAAGGTTACGACAAACGCACTAAAAGCATTCATGGCGTCGCCGCGCTGGCACGCATACATAATAGCCTCATATTTAGGACACGGTCGGTGTCCTTCAGAGCAGAGCCTGCCGGGCGTCGGCTGTCCAGCGCCGCGCGCACCATAATGTATGCATGGGGAGGGAGGAGAGAGAGAGAGAGAGAGAGAGAGAGAGAGAGAGAGAGAGAGAGAGAGAGAGAGAGAGAGAGAGAGAGGTAAAGAGAGAGAGAGAGAGAGAAAGAAAGAAAGAAAGAAAGAGAGAGAGAGAGAGAGAGAGAGAGAGAGAGAGAGGGAAAGACAGACAGAGACAGAACAGGCTCACCACTGGCGTCTGCTTGTCATTAAAAGTCAGCTGTCAGGTAGCCTTACACCGTCTATCCCAGGCACCGTCTATCCGCGGAATTCGGAGTGCTCCTAAAGTTTCGCAGTCCAACTCAACCGGAAACCAAAATTTCTCACAAAGCAAATTTCATCGAAAATCAGCGATAGGGCGTCAGTTGGTAGTAGGTACATATGCTGCTATTAGAGGTCACTGATAATACCAGGTCAGGTCACAGGTCAAGTCAAAAAAGGTCAAATTTCAAAGTTGATATTTTTGCATAAGACGGGGATCGATTCGATGCAGCTCGTCACGGCGAGACTAATGGTGGTCTTTATTTTGCGCTACGTTGTCTAGAATTGCCAAAAATTGAGTTCGAAAATTTGACGTCATCATCTTCAAACAGTATTTTTTTCGCGATAACTTGGCCAAAAAGAGATATCCATCTTAAATTTGGTATGCAGATAGAACACGGTTAGTACTATCATATTTATTCCGATTTTTCTCGAAATTTGAAACACCTTTTTGGATTTTTTGGCTGATATATAGGTATCCAAAAAATAGTTTTTTTATTTTTGGGGGTCAAAACTCAAAAAATTCAAAAACCCGAGATAGAAATTTCGTAGCCCTATCTATTTTACAGCTTTTATGTCCTTATCATTTTTTCTGTATCTTCAAAGCTGTAGGCCTGACAGCTCTTCCCGCGAAACCTTTCTTTGGGTCGAAAGCGGCAAAACATGACGTCATTCTGACGTCATTTCCTGCCAACCTATCAGAGCCTTGGGATCTTTTTTTGTCACAACGTGTAAAATTGATGCCTGGGAAGTGGGAGGGTACTGAAAGTTTGGTGACGATCGACGCAGCGGTTCTGGAGATATATCGAAAAGTTTGGAGGGGGCAAAAATAGCCCCCCCCCCTCCACCACGGCGTGGGTTAACATGAAGAACGTTGAAAAGGTTGTCTTTTCCTATGCCCAGGCAGTTGAACCATTAACGCAAAAGGTCTTTTTTCTAACCGAGGTTTCGCCAGTTACCCTGTTTTCCTTACCACGTGTGTATGGTGAAATTGAGCATGTTTATAAGTACAGTACCTACCTAGTTTTGCAACGCCCTACTTGAATCTGCAATCCTATTATAAAAAAACATGTTTGCTTGATAAAAATGTTTACGCAAAGTTCCAGTGTAGCAATCAGTGACGCTATGATTGCGCAACAACTCAGCGGTGGCGAGCAGCTGCAGAAATCTGAGTAGATGTCGCCACTTGCCGTAGTCGCTAGAGAAGGCGTGATACAAAGCCAAGGCCGGAGACCAGTCCGTACTGCGGCAGCTCTCGGGCTGTGGCTTTGGGTGTAGTTACGGACCGGCCGGCGACCGGTGGCGGATAGCGGCGGGCAGCCATTGAATTGGGTGCCACAGTGTGTGAGAGGCGTGATCGTGTTCCGCACAGTGCAGCGGCACGGCAGTGTCGGGCCAAACAAAAGGCGGGTGACGGCCCGCAGGTGCGGTGCTACCGCCCACGTCATACGACAGTGTCACGTGTCTGTGACAGTGAATCAGACTGGCGCGGGCCGGCCGCCGCCGCCGCCGCCGCCCACCAGTCCCCGCCGCAGCCGGTCCTAGTCGGTGTCTGAGCTCCGCGCCGGCTCCCCTGCTGCTGCTGCTGCTGCTGCTCGCTGGACCGACCCTCGGTCTCGACTCGTGCCCGTCCGTTCAGACCAATCCCAGCGCCATGGAGCCGGTGACCAGCCACCAGGCGCAGGCGGCCTCCCGGCTGTACCGAGTGCTGGCAGAGGCGGCCGGCGACGACAACGTGTTCCTGTCGCCGTTCAGCATCGCCACCGCGCTGTCCATGGCCTTCGGCGGCGCCGGCGGCGACACGGCGCTCCAGCTGCGGCAGGCGCTGGCGCTGCCCGAGGACGCCGCGGCGCTCCACGACGGCTACGGCAAGGTGCTGGCCAAGCTGAACGACCCGCCGAACGTCACACTCAGCACCGCCAACAAGATGTACGTCCAGAACTCCTACAAGATACTGGACAGCTACCTCGAGCTCATGAAGAACCAGTACCTCAGCGAGCTGAAGAGCGTGGACTTTGCAGACGCGGCCGGCACGAGCAAACTGATCAATGATGACGTGGATTCACTGACGAGAGGGAAAATCAAGGACTTGATCGATCCGAGTGCCCTGAACGCACTTGTCCGCCTGGTGCTGGTGAATGCCATCTACTTCAAGGGCTCGTGGCAAGAGAAGTTTGACAAGAAGGCGACGCAGAAGCAGGACTTTTTCGTCACTCCAGACAGCGCCGTGAAGACGGACATGATGTACATGGACGGCAAGCGCTTCAACTGCGGCGTGCTCTCCGACCTCGGCTGCAAGGCTCTGGAGCTGCCGTACGAGGGCAGGCGGTTCAGCATGTTGCTGCTGCTGCCCGACAAGAAGGACGGACTGAAGGCTCTGGAGGAGAAGCTTGCCAACACACCGGTCCAGTCCATCATGCAGAAGCTGCACAGTGAAAAGACTACCATCAGCATCCCCAAGTTCAAGTTGGAGACGTCCTACAACCTCGAAGACCATCTGAAGAAGCTGGGCATCGTTCACTTGTTTGATTTCAATTCGGCGGACCTGTCCAAGATATCGGGCAACAATGACCTCTTTGTGTCCAAGGTAGTCCACAAGGCCTTCATTGAGGTCAACGAGGAGGGCGCCGAAGCGGCCGCCGCCACGGGCATGATCATGATGATGCGATGCATGCCCAGGGAGCAGTTTGAGTTTTTTGCCAACCACCCGTTCTTCTTCGCTATCGTTGACAACGAGGTCGGTGTGGTTCTGTTCTCCGGCCGTTACGTCAAGCCCGAGTGAGCGGCATACCAACAGGTTCAATATGTTAACATGGGTCTAGTCACTGTGTGCCTTGTGGACTTTATATAATCACTGCATTTTTCGGAAGGAAAGGGACGGCCCCTGGTGCGAATCCCGTCTTGTTCGATGCTGTCTATGTGATAAACAAACGCCTATGTTTCACTGAGCTGTAGCAATGGGACAAGGTGTGATCTTATGGATGCTTGGTTGGGTTTTGTTTTGTTACTCAGGGGTGTTTGATTTCCTATTTTCTTCAAACGTGATTATTAATTTCTGTGTGACAAGGAACCAAATATACGCTATCTATTTCCAAACAAATTCGTTATTGAAATCATTAATGCCTAGTTATATATTGCTGATTGGTCACCCTTGGAATATTGGGCAGTTAAAGGGACCCTCCCACCTTAACATTAGATTTGAGTTGAGATAGCCAAAATGGGGTCCCTGGCTCACAATTACCGGTTTCGGCACTCACAACATCGAGAAATGACTTAGCTCGGAAATATTGAATTTCAAAATTGCAGCATTTTGATTCAGAGGGGCTAATGCATAGGAATACCCCTCTGAATGTGTAACGTCAGCGCAGATATCTAACGATTTTTAAATGTTTGACTAAAACGTTTTGTAGCACGCGGTGGTATATGCTGCTTTGCGCGCAACAAGTGCCGCACTTTCAGCTGCCAAACTATTGCTTCCAAATAAAGTCGCTAGGAACAGCGGAGATCCCAAAAAGTGAGCAAAAGTAAAAGTCTAATATCTTGAAAACTGGTGAATATTTTTCGGTGAAATTTGGTAGATATTCGTTTTCGCTCTTTCTGAACCGAGCGACATCACTTTCATGCCAATTCATAAACTTTTTTGAAGGTGGGAGGGTCCTTTTAAACACCATATGAATAATTACCCCTTTGCTCACCGATTTAACCCTCGCCCTGGCAGGGGGGTCGTTGCGACCCCCCTAAGGTTTTTTTAAGATAGCGTAAAAACGGCGGCTTGCAGCGCCTCCAAATTTGGCACAGCCTATGGGGCAACCTTTTTACATATGACCTGAAAATTTCAGGTCCGGGTGACCTTGGGTCAGGTCACCAGGTCAGAAAAACAGGTACAAGGTCATGGTCAAATTTCAATTTTCTTTTTGGACCTGTCCAACTCACAGTTTTGGACTGATTTCCTTCAAACTTTCAGGATGTGCTAAGTTCACCGGGTTGTATAAAATATAGTTCGGGTTTTTTGATGTCACTGACTTGAGGTCAGTTAGAGGTCATTACGTCGTAATGTTAAGCCTACGGGAAAATACTAAATTCGGAAAATACTGGAGATATCCGCTTCGTTCTATCACTTTTGTGCTTTGAAACCACAGTACTTAACAGCAGGTCGCTTGGTGCTTCTTTGTTTGGTGTGCTTATCCATGGGTCAGGTCAAATGAGGTCAACTGAGGTCAAATGACGTTTTTGCCAATAACTTGGCACATAATGACGCTAGAGCTTAAAAAACGGTGTCATTGTGTTCCTGGTGATCAGCCGAATCGAATGATATGCGATATGATGCAAGTTGGTTAACCCGCGCGGGGCTGGGGGGGTAAATTTTACCCCCCTCGCGAATTTTTGCAATATCTCAAAAACGGCGGCGCGCAGCGCCGCCAAACTTTCAGTACCTTTTCTTACATCAATTTGACACGTTCCCTGAAAATTTGAGCGAAATCCGTCGGAAAATTTTTGAGAAATTGACGTTTTAGTGACGTCATGTTCGCCATTTTCGCCTCAAAAAACGGCAAAAGTTCAAACGCCGCTAACATCTTCATTTTTAAAGGAATCAAGATGTAACAAAAAAGGATATACGTAATTCTACTTTGTCTATCAAATGGCTATCTCCGTTTTTTGAAAATTTTGGATTTTGGCCCAAATGTTTTCAAAAAACTGACTTTTTTTGGAAAATAGTTATGAAATCCAAAATTTTGAGTGTATCAAAAAACCGGAATATATGTCAGAGAAGTGGTCTATGTGCACCTATATACCAAGTTTTAGAAGAATCGGTTCAAAAATGTGGGAGTTATTCAAAATTTTATGACGTCACGACACACAAAAATTTTGAAAAATGACTTTTTTGGAAGTTCTAGACCTCGTACGGAAACAAAAATAGCACCATTCGATTCGCCGTGAAAAACTGCATCAGATAGACACCCTTTTAGGCCTTAACAACCAACTTCAAAATTTGACCTCACTTGACCTGAACTTGACCTGACCTCGACCTGAAATTCATCCAGAGGTGGTCCATATCACTTATTGAGTGTGCCTATTGAATTCTATGAGTAAAATGACCCATAAAACATGTGTCGCACATGCCCTTTTCTATATTTTGTTTTTGGTGACCTGACCTGACCTGACCTGACCTTGACCTTGACCTCTGAATGATATTGTATGCAACGAGTATTGTTTTTGTAGCCTAAGAACACGTTTTGGGCGATCAGTCTCAGTCCATGACTCCATTCTTCGGCAACTACGGTGCAAGGCCGATACTGTAGGAACTTGCAATTTGTACCCTTGACCTGACCTTGACCTTGACCTCAAACTTAAGATTAAGTACATGTTTTTAGTTGTTCGTGATGAGATCTTTCGATTGGCGTTTGAATTTTTCAAATCGGACCATTAGTTCGGGAGATAACAGGGGGGTAAAATTTACCCCCCCCCAGCCCCGCGCGTTCGGCTGGAGACATCAGCCCCGCGCGGGTTAACTTGAACTTAATTAATTAGTTAAAGTTGACTTAAAAATTAAGGAAAACTCTAAGTACACTGAAGCAAGCTAAAAAGTACATCAGTCGACGCGCCTTGACGTGCTGAGTTCACTGGTGCTTTTATTTTTGCTCTATCTTAATTAGATCAAAAGTTATAAGCGAAAAAACTTTTGACCTGTTTTTAGCGAAATTTTTACATTTATACCCCCCAAAACCCCCCTAAATATTGACCTACAGCAACCAAATTTGCACAGGGGCGAGTACTCCAGGGGCCCACCTATCTACCAAATTTGGTGTTTCTATGTGCCATAGGAGCCAATCGCGAGGGGGGGGGGGTCGCATCGACCCCCCCTGCCAGGCCGTGTTATGAAAAATGCCCTGCCAGGGCGAGGGTTAAGCAGCTTCTCCCGTCAAACGATGCAGTGTTCAGGGTGCCGCGATGGTGACGGAGACGGCCAGTTTTCCCGCTCACAGTGTGCCAGCTGCGCTGCGGGTGGGTGCCAGCTGCGCTGCGGGTGGGTGCCAGCTGCGCTGCGGGTGGGTGCCGGATGGGTAGACATGTCGCATGAGACAGCCACGTCCGCACTCCGCGGTTGCAGATAACAGATGGCTTTCTGCAGCTGTGGAGCGCCATTATTCATATCGGGCGATGTGGCCGAGTCAGCACTGTCTCGTCGGCGATCTGTCCTGGTATGGGAGGGAGGTGACGGACACGGCACCTGTGGACCCCCACTACAGGCGCGGCCCATGTCTGTGCACACGCCGGACACCCTATTTGCAAATACCAATTTGGTTAGCTTAAAGGGACTATCCCACCTTTAACATGGGGTTTGAGTTGAGATAGCCAAGTTTGCGGCGAGGTTCAGAAACCACTATCTATCTATGTTGCAACCCCCGCGGCCTCTTGGTGTTGAAGAAATTCGTTCCCTTCATTTGAAAATGGGCCTTGCGCAAGGCCCTATCATCAACATTTAGCGACCGTTAGTGTGACGTCACCTCGTTTAGTCATTCTGATTTAACCCGCGCCCCGCTGGGGGGGGGGGCAGAATCTGCCCCCACCTCCCGTTTTTCGCCAATAACTTCTAAACACGTTACGCCAGCGACGTCAAACTTTCAGTATCTTATCATACATCGATTTGACACGTTCTCTGAAAATTTGAGCGAAATCCGTCGGAAAATTTTTGAGAAATTGACGTTTTAGTGACGTCATGTTCGCCATTTTTGCCTCAAAAACGGCAAAACTTCAAACGCCGCTAACATCTTCATTTTTAAAGGAATCAAGACGTAACAAAAAAGGTTATACGTGATTCTACTTTGTCTATCAAATGGCTATCTCGGTTTTTTGAAAAGTTTGGATTTTGGCCCAAATTTTTTCAAAAAACTGACTTTTTTGGGAAAATAATTATAAAATCCAAAATTTTGAGTGCATCAGAAAAACCGGAATATATGTCAGAGAAGTGGTCTATATGCACCTACATACCAATTTTTAGAGGAATCGGTTCGAAAATGTGGGAGATATTCAAAATTTTATGACGTCACGACACACAAAATTTTGAAAAATGACTTTTTTGGAAGTTCTAGGCCTCCTACGGAAACAAAAATAGCACCATTTGATTCGCCGTGAAAAACTGCATCAGATAGACACCTTTTTAGGCCTTAACAACCAACTTCAAAATTTGACCTCACTTGACCTGACCTTGACCTGACCTCGACCTGAAATTCATCCAGAGGTGGTCCATATCAATTATTGAGTGTGCCTATTGAGTTCTATGAGTAAAATGACCCATAAAACATGTGTCGCACATGCCCTTTTCTATATTTTGTTTTTGGTGACCTGACCTAACCGGACCTTGACCTTTGAATGACATTGTATGCAACGAATATTGTCTTGGTAGTCTAAGAACACGTTTTGGGCAATCAGTCTCAGTCCATTCTTCGGCAACTACGGTGCAAGGCCGATACTGTAGAAACTTGCATTTTGTACCCTTGACCTGACCTTGACCTGACCTCTGACCTACTTAAGCAAAAAAAATTGGGCTCGTTAGATCCGCCTTGTTGAGAGCTTTCGATTGCCGTTTTCCCCGTCTTTCTACGACCATCGGTTCGGAAGTTAGACAGGGGGGCAGAATCTGCCCCCCCCCCCCAGCAGGGCGCGTATGGCTGAATAGCCCAGCGGGGCGAGGGTTAAATGGGTTTGTTCGTTGAAAAATCGCTTAAAACTTGGTCTGAACTTTGTTGTGGTGCCTACAGAGTAAAAAGAATCAGCTTTATGACAGTAATGTGGCCTGGGGAAGGAGGTAATTTTGGGCTGTGACGTCACATATTTGAAAGTTTGTGTTTCGAATATGGGAAGCCCTAAGATGTTTAATGAAAAATAAATGCCAGAACCGTGTTCCTGGTCATCCAATCTATAAAGTCGGG